AAAAAAAAAAAAAAAAAATTACCTTGTTGGAGAAGAATCCTTTGCCGAGGCCGTAGAATTTTTTCGACATTTTTTTGGATTTGTTTTAACGCTCGAATCGTTCGTTGAAGTTCGGAAGTTTAGAGAGATAGAAAGTTTAGAGAGATGAAATCAAAAAAAGGGTTAAGGGCAAAAGAGTAATTGGGGGGGGGCGGTGACTAGTAAAAGGGGGGCGGTGAATAGCGATTGAGTTTGTCAATGATGCAACTTATTTTAGTTCTACAACTTTTCTTGCCTTTCTTGTATTTGTTTTCCCACTGTTTACCAAGCCAGCAGGTTTGAGGTTGCGTAAAAGCAAACAAATAACAAATAACTAATGTCAAAGAATTTTGGGTAAGATATTCAAGTAACACCATTTTTAGAAAATATATAAATCATATAAAAATTCTATAGAGTCATCGGATGATTTTCTTATGGAGTCATCCATCCTTTAATGTATTGACACTCATCCAAAGTGTATTTATTGCAGGACACATGTCAATACACTATTGGTGAATAAGTATGGATGACTCCATAAGCCGAGTCATCCGATGACTCCATAACAAAACTGATAAATCATATATCCTTTTTTATTAAAAAAAAAAATGCCATCACACTCATGTCATCTCACAATTTTACTATGTATAATAACACTAGCCTTATTCTTCAAGACAACTTTTTCACACAAGCTTTCCCTATACTAGAAACAAACAAAATGAAAGGTCGAGTACTCGAGTTGCAGTAGTCAAATTCAATTTCAAACTTTTTATGAAGTTATAGATTATAATATGCATAGTGCATGAGATTGATTGAGTTTGAAGGCAAAGAGCGTGAAGGGTAAAATTATATGAAAGGTGGGTTTATTATAATTGTTAAACGACTTGAGTTTCCCAGTAATATCCCATGTAGCATCTTGAGGAATTTTAATGTTGTCGACATTTTTCAGCTTCAGTGTCACGCTTGTTTGTGGTATGGCGTAAAATCTAAGCAGGCATGGAACCAAGTTCTTGGAATTGCGTAACTTTTTGTACTGTTTTATTCTTTTATTTTATTAGAGAACCCGTACATCACTCATTTACTAAAATATATTTTCATAAACTCAAAAATAAATATAACTTTTTTTTTTTTTATTTCAAATTTCAATGATTTATTAAAAATTCATCATTAATTTGATGTAATACGAGTTTGTATGGTAGTTGAACAATAGATTGGGCTGAAATAACCAACCTTGAAATCTCCTTCGAAATTCAAACGGCAAAACATGTATGATGGAAACGAGGTTGCCCTGGTATATTTGGATAAATTTGATCGACTCCGAATTTAGTCCATTATTTATTTCTATTTTTCCTTTCATTTTATTATTCAGTTTCCTTATTTATTATTATAGACTAGGTAAGTAAATAATGTCCTTGCAGTTGTTTGGCAAGTGTGGACTCTCTTTTCTATTTATTATCTGTTGTAAGACTTCAGAAGTCGATTATTGAAGTTTATGAAATTATCTGGTTTTATTTCACGAGAGAGTATCTCGATCTTCCCTGTTTTGGTATCACGTTCTACATATATCAGTTGGTATCCATAAACCAGCAACGATCCGCAATGCCGCCTAAGAGAGGACAAATCGACAACATCATTGAGGAGCGATTCCAGAGAATGGATGATCGCTTTCACGGGATGGACGAACGATTTACGGATCTCTCTTCCGGAATTGAGGAGTTGCGGGATGCGATGCGGACTATGATGGACGAGATCCGTACGAATCGCGCTGTCGGCGACCGGGGCACGCGTGGAGGGGCTCGCGGGGGACGTGGAGGACTCGGCTATGGCGAGGCGCCCCGTCACCGGTCACCACAGACTCCGTCCGGCGACAAGGCGGACGAGGAGACTATTAGCGTCGACAATCCGTTCGCGACGGATCGACGCCGTCGGCCTGCGGGTGACGATGGTCGCGGTCACGGGGGTTTTGACGGAGACTTTGGCGACGACGAGGATGATGGCGGGCAGCGCCGTGCCTGGGGGCGGTGCGACGACTATCAGCGGCGTCGTGAGGGCTTCGTCGATGATGTGGGTAGAGAACGACATGACGGCAGGCGCCCGATAGAAGGGGGCGATGGGTCACGTTGGGACCAAGGGTTTCGGGTGGATATTCTGGAATTTGAGGGTAGTACGGATGGATCGGAATTCGTCGAATGGTGGGCTGCGGTCGAGGCCTTCCTCCGATTTAAGGATGTTCCGGAAGACAAGCGAGTGGATTTAGTGGCTACCAGATTTCGTGGGCGTGCAGCGACTTGGTGGATGCAATTGACCAGTATGCGGCATCGTCAGGGAAAATCGATCATTACTTCATGGATGAAGTTTCGCGAGTTAGTAGAACGTGAATTCGTCCCATTTAATTTCGATAGCATTGTGTACCAACAGCTGCAAAATTTGCGTCAATGAGCATGGTCGGTGGACGATTACACTAATGACTTCTATCGACTCTTAACTCGTGTGGAGCTGCGCGAAACAAAAAATCAATTGGTGTCTCGTTACGTGGGTGGACTTCGACAGGCCATAAGTGACACACTTAATCTTTTTCGCCCGGAGACGGTTTCGGATGCTCATCAACGGGCACTTCTCGTTGAGTTTCAAATGGCACAAAAGTCGGGACCTTCCTTTGTGTCTTTTTCGCGACAAAGCACGTCATTCGGGGCGGGTGGTCAGTCCATGCGTGGAACTCCTACGGTGGGCGGCAGCTTGGGCCAGGGGACGGCGGCGAGCCGGTTTCCGTCATCCAGTGGTTCACAGCCGCGACAGGGCGGGACAGCGGGCCCTTAGATGACGGCGACGGGAGCACGCGCTGTGGCACCGGGCTGCGTTGCTTCGATTGTGGGGAAGTGGGCCATCGTCAAGCGGTTTGTCCACGAAATGGTAATACTCGCGCATTATTCTCAGAGGAGGTTTATGATGATGCTGTGACGGAAGGGTTTGAGGGGCTGCCCACCTAAGATACTGAACCGGCCGAGGTGGAGGAATATGTCTCCGGTGATGTGGGGACGGCGCTTGTGATTCGGCGGACGTGTCTCACGCCGAGAGGTTCTAATGATTCAGAGAGGAACCATCTTTTCGAGTCCACATGCACGGTCGGGAACAAGATATGTCGCTTTATTATCGACTCGGGCTCGTGTGAGAATGTGATTGCAAAGGAGGCAGTGGACAAGTTGAAGTTGTCGTGTGAGCCTCATCCACACCCTTATACGCTCGCATGGATCCAAAAGGGTAATGCGGTTACTGTTGATCGGCGGGCACTTGTCTCTTTCTCCATTGGCCCAACTTATCGCGATCAAGTCTGGTGCGATGTCGTTCCCATGGACGCGTGCCATTTACTTTTGGGCCGTCCGTGGCAGTTTGATCGTGCGGCAACGCACGATGGTCGCCTCAACAAGTACTCGTTTATTTTTTGCGGGGTCAAAATTATTTTGCTGTCGAACACACCACGGCCCGCGCCGCAACCCACCACGACGTCGCCGGTCCTTTTCCTTTCACGGACGAGTTTTTTGTCCGAGATGCGGGCGTCCCCCGTCGTGTTGCTGTTAGTGGGCGCCGATGTGCCTGACGACAGGGAACCTCTCGCAGCGATCAGCCTGTTGCTACTGGAGTTTGCCGACGTCTTTCCCGTTGATATTCCTTCGGGCCTACCACCTCTATGGGACATCCAACACCATATTGATCTGATCCCGAGAGCATCATTACCAAATAGGCCTCATTACCGTATGAGCCCGACGGAGCATGAGGAATTGAGACGGCAAGTTGAGGAGCTTCTCCAATGGGGAGTCGTGCGTCGGAGTCTGAGTCCGTGTGCGGTGCCGGCTCTCCTTATTCCCAAAAAGGATAGTTCATGGAGGATGTGTGTTGACAGCCGTGCAATCAACAAGATTACGGTCCGTTACCGTTTCCCGATTCCTCGACTCGATGACCTGTTGGACCAGTTGCATAGTGCTTCTGTTTTCACCAAGCTCGACCTTCGTAGCGGTTATCACCAAATCCGGATTCGGCCAGGTGACGAGGGGAAGACAGCTTTTAAGATCCGAGAGGGTTTGTTCGAATGGCTGGTGATGTCGTTCGGGCTTTCAAATGCTCCTAGCACATTCATGCGTCTTATGAACCAGGCCTTACGTGACTTTATCGGAAAGAGTGTCGTCGTTTATTTCGACGATATTCTTATC